GGGGGCGACGGGCAGGCCGGGCTCGCAGAGGCCGCAGGACACGGCCGAGGGCACCAGGCGGCCGAGCGGGAAGGGACGCGGGCTGTCGCGGGCCAGGCCCTCTACAGGTTCGGGAGAGCTGCCCTCCTGTCGTGCGCGGGCCATGGCGCTCCCGGGGGCCTGCGGGACACGGGGAGTTCAGCGGGGAGGCGTAGCCCCCCCTGCACACATCCAGGGTTCACTCACGATGCATGTGGGGGAACCCCCCATGAGACACACCCCTCGAGGGGAGGTCACAGGGACAGGCTGGCCAGGACCCCAAAGGAGGGGGTGTGTCTGCGCGTCTGGGGGCTGGGACAGCCCCACAGGGCAAACTCTTCACTGGGCTAATAGTGAATGTGGGGGGCTGGGGACAACTTTCCCAACAGTAGGGAGAACGCAGGGTGGTAAGGGGTGTGGGGGGGAGAGACACAGGACCCCAATAATGAGGAATGTAGTGTGTAAATGTATGGCGTGTGTGGACGCCATACAACGCAGACACCAAACTAGCCAGCCTGACCCCCACATCTGAGAGATGGGACATGAAATTGCTACTCAGCACACACACACACACACACACCAAAACAAGGACCACACAACTACACTGCACCTTGCTTCCCTCCTCCCCTCACACCCAGAATCTCACACACTGACCCACTGTGGGTCTGCCCAGAGACACAGAATGCAGCCCTCACAACAACCACAGAAACACCACGCACGCACGCGCACGCTCCCGCGCGCGCACATACACACACACACACACAACCAGGACATAAGCACGATACCCCTGAGGACGCACACCGTCCAACCCGAGGCGGGCACACGAGTCTCCACACCACCACCCCCAGCCTCCAGGACACGTCTATCAGGCGCGTGTCACCAGACGCAGATGCGCTGCCACACTTGCAGGCAAAGATACACAGACGCCCCAGCCCCATCGAACGAACGGCAGACATAGCCCGCCCTCCTCTCCCAACCCCACAAAACACCATCACCAACTGTCAGCACACACGCACTCACACACACACACGCTAATCCACACAGCCTTCCCAACACACCTAAAACACTGGTCTCACGTGACTGACATAAACACTACACACACAGCCACATGACACATGAACCACCATCGGATCTCAGTGACAAACCCTCAGAACCAACAGACACACACGGAGGCTGCCCGCAACACCCCCCTCCCCGGGGCACTGCACAGACCCCATGAAGCCTGGGTGCCCCCTTCCCAACACCGCTTCCAGACACCCCCACTCCCCCAGTTCCCATTTCCGCTACTCAGACACCTGGAAAGAAAACCCACCAGCGGGGTGTTGTCAGGCAGACCCCTCAGAAGCCCTGGAGACACTAGTGCACACAAGACACACGTAAACACACACAGCCATGCGCACAACTACACACCACCACACACCATCACCCCAAACAGCACACAGGCAACTCTCCTAGCGCGCGCGCGCACACACACACACACACACACAGGTACATCCCAGCCCACCCGCGGAGGCCACGCTCAAATGGGGACACTCACGCCTACACCCCGACGGGTCACAAATGCCAACATTCCTCTGGACTGGCACCCCGACTCTCCGCCGACCCCAGCGCCAACTCGGAGCCAGACACACGCACACACCCAGGCGAGACACCTGCAGATCCACAGCCCCGCGCGCGCGCTCCTCGCCGTCCCAGACGCCCCGCTCC